TCTCCAACCTATTATCCCACATTGAAATCATGTAGAACAATCCTCAATGTTCTCCCTATGATGATAGAAGAAAAATAAAGGAAAAGTTAATATAAGGTCATTACCTTAATCGTTCTCACTTTTCCTAGCTTTTTCTCCCTTTAATCTTCCCCCTTGGACCTCTATTGTTTGAGCTCTCTTCAAGGATGGGAAAAGGAGGATGGAGGTTTTTCTTTTCTTGCTGGGGTTGGTGCTGGCCGAGAGAAGGAGTGAGGGAGAGATGGGGTGAGGTTTCCTTTTTGGCATTTTTGCCAAATGAGTGAGAATGGGGCCCTTGGGATGTCAAGGTTGTCTCTCCCATCTCCTCAAGGTTTTCAGTCCTTGTTTGACATAGATCAGCCCCCCCTTTGCTGCCAAATTCGTGGGTTGGCCCCCACCCATGTGGGAGGTCAACCCTTTTTGTCCAGAAGTGTACAATCGGCCCCGAAAGTTGTATTTTTCGGACTGTTTTAGATATATTTTATTTTATCGGGTCAAATAAAATATATTATGTGTTTCCAAATCATTATGACCCTTATAATGAATATACATCCCCCAACTTTACTTTATAAGTTCCCGAAATTCATTTCGGGTTTTTATCTATTAAATTACCAATACCGGTATTCTGGCCTTTTGATCAACCGGTCAACTCTATATCATTTCCTTGGACCAAATAAATTATCCACCACTATATAAATATTATCTAGACCAAGATAAATAATTTATGGGGTCCCGGGAATATAGGGTGGTCCCCGCTCCCGGTGTGGGCCCCACGTGCGAATTTACTATTCACGCAAAATAATTAATAAAAACTCATAACATCGTAAATTTGTCAACTATTCCATAAGGTTAAAATACAATATTCACTTAAAAGTAAATACATTTGGGGACGGTGTTACACTACCTCCGTCCCATTTATATTGGGACGGAAGAGGGTGACACAGTTATTAAGAAAAGTAAATTTGTGTGGTTGATATTAATTGATAAAGTAAGAATAAAGTAAGAATGATTTAAAACCACACAAACTTTGCCAAATATGACATGAGACAATTTAAGTGGGACTTCCTGAAAAGGTAAAACGGGACAATACAAATGGGACGGAGGGAGTATGTGAGAGTTGGTCCAATTGTGTATTTGTGTCACTCCAACTTTTTTTTCGCCATAACTAAGATGTGTGTATGTCACTTCAACTTAAGAGTTCGAGGTTTATGATTTAATGTTTGTTTTGTACTAATCGATTTTATTTCAGTAAAATTTCACCTAAATTACTTGAAAAAAATTAGCTAATTGTTATGTCGGAGTATATACATTCGTCTACTATTAAAAGAGAACCTTTTTAACTATATGATCAATCTATAAGTGACCTGGTCTAGTTTTTGTTTTTTGATAGATGAGGGCCCTTAAATTAAGGCATGTCATTGTTTTCATGTGACTATTTCATTGTCTTCATTTCCTTTTCATTGCTCTTTAATTTCGTTTCATTCTTCATTTCCTTGCCTAGTCGCTTCGTATATTCAATCTAAACCATTTCATTTTCGTTCTTCATTTTCTTTTTATACTTAAATTTCTTTTCATTCTCTAAATTTGAATTCACATTGGGTTAGGCAAGCAAAAGGAAAGATAGGAGATCCCTCTTGCTGTAAGTTTCATACGAAGTATTTCTTTGTCTTTTCTCATGACCCTGAATGTTCCGAGCATCAAAAAGTAATATTGAAATGATAAAAAAAGATGGTGAGAAAATTCCAACATTTTCACGAATGCATCGTATATTCCGTTCAACACCATTGTACCACATATTTTGGAAAAAGTTGCTTCCTACTCCCTTATTTGGAATGAAAAAACTACGAGGATGATATGTTATCTAGTAGTCTCTGATTTATGCTATATTCTTTACTTCCTCTTGGTGAATAGGAATAAGAAAATATACTGATGGAGTATATGGCCCAGGAACCCCCGGCCCATAGACTCCTACTTCTCCTACACAAGTCCATTGGGCCCAGAGAACAACTCAGGCCCAAATGCATCGCCCCAAGCCTCAAAGTAGCCCGGAATACACACTGGGGTGCCTTCGGCCTCCTTGGCCGAAGGCTCCAAAACTCACAGGATAGCTTTCTCTGACGTACGAAGCTACTGGAAGAAAAGGGCGAAAAACATGAACCTTCGGCGCTATCAAGCCCTCGGCATCGGGGAAGCCTTCGGCCGAACCAAGCCCTCGGTCACACGAGGCCTCCGGCTACACAGGGGTCCTTGAGCACATGGAGCCCTCGGCTACACAAGGAGCCTTCGGCCAAACATGCTCAATCATCGAAGATTCCTTTTGGAGACAGCCAACCACCGCATTCAATGCCACGTCACATCCGCCAACCGCATTCAATGCGGTGAACGTACCACTGCCGGTGCCACCCGGCTGATGTGACCCCTCGGCCGTCGGATTACTGACACGTGTACTCTCATCGCATTTATTGCTGCTATAAATAGCAGCCCTTATTCACCTTGTAAAATACGCTGAGTTCATTTAATAAATCGACTCTCTCTCCTCCTATTTTGCTCTGACTTCTCTCTAGTTATTCCCGCAATAACCCCTCGGATAGGATACCCCCCGGATAGATTATCCATCATATACGTTATCTATTGGTGTCATTTTATGGTTCACAACCTCGAGAACTAGATCCAAGTTACTCTGCAGTCTGCAAGGAAGAAATATGTTGGTGACATAATTCTCTACCACATTTCCCACTTCAACCTTCTCCCTCCATTACTATTACATTTTAACGTTCTCTCTCCAATATTGAGAGTAAGAAATTGTAGGATTTTGAAAATATTGATGTGCGATGAAGATGAAGAACAAATCCACCACGTTATCAATGTTTTTTACAAGAAAGTGTTTTGAAACGTGTATGCTACAAAAACTTTATTATACTAGTAGTATTTATTTATTCCTTCTTATACCAAAAAATAATCCGTATAAATAATGAGTCAGGAAAATTGCATTTGTAGTTCCTAAAATAGTCAATAGATTGAATTTCGGACTCGTATTTCTGAGATTATAAATGTCCACCCTTAACTGTCCAAATTGGTGTAAATGTGGTCCTTTTGGGGGTGAAATATATTCCTCGCCCACATTGTACATTTCACCGCTCAAACACGAGTCTGGCATTTCAATATGGTGACTATTTCAGGGACTAAAAATTGTGATTTTCCCTAATGAGTCATATGTATCTTTTCGCTAATTATAATTTGTGTAACGCCTATACTTGTATTCTTTTACACATTAACTAAACTTATGATATATCTTCATTACTTAATATATGTCTTGTGCATCGCACATGTGAGAATCTAGTATATACTCCGTATAAAAATGTCGTAGGTGGTTGTGTCAAGGTGTGATCATATTAATTAATGTATAATAAGGAATTTCATATAGCGTATAAATTAATAGTAGTTATCAAGAAATAATTTATTATATGATTATAGCTAAGATGTTTTTACTTGGGCTGTTTTCAGTCCTAAACCAGACCAATTCAGACTAGACCAGACCAGATCATACCAGACCTGGTTAGTTATAAAAATAATAAGATAAAATACATTACCAGACCAGACCAGATCAGACCAGATCAGACCAGCAAATTATAGTCCAAGTAAAATGACCTTTGATTTTTACTTTTTCTGAAAAAATGATTATTTGAACATCAATTTAGTCGGGTCTACCTGGCCCTTTTCATTGACCCGTTGGGTCCAATTTTGGAAAACTTATCTAGGCTTGTCATTAATGGGTTCGAGTATGGGACACAAGCGTTTAGTTAAATAATCCCAAAAGAATAAAAGGCGCCACAGCATGACAACTAGGTCTCAGACTAGAGAATTTCCTTATGTGTAGTTTTTTAAGGTTTTCTTTCTCTCTTTTGTTTTGTTTTGTTTTGTTTCCTTTATTTCCTCTTCTTATTGTACTGTTTATTTATTTCAATAAAATTTACTTTTTGTTAAAAAAAATAGTAAATATTGTAATTTTAAATAATGCCTATGTAAATTTTCGAAGTATATTTATTACATCTGAAAAATATGTTAGTGGATGAATTTTAGGAGACTATTGAATCTAATAATCCATTTCCATGTGAGAATAAATAATCTAGGAAGGATTCTACCATCTCAATTCTCACAAATACTTTCTTACAAAATTTCAGAAATATTTTCTATTTTAAGCTCATGCATTTCGATTGTCTCTCCTTAGTTTTATAACCTTACTCGCATGTACATATGGTCATATAACTAATAACTGTGTTCATGTTAAGAACTATCCTAGGGAAAAGTTTATGTTTTGACAAAAAGTGTACACACCAGAAAAGATTGTCATTGACGACAAATTTTCTTCAAAAGTGTATCTTATGGAGAAAAATCCTTAACATGGACAAATTTATTAGTTATCTATCAATGAGTAAAAGTAGTAGAACTAAAAGCGAAAACTATCAAAAATAAAATCTATAATTTTCTTCATATTGGAACATAAATAATGTGCATATTATTTATGATAATGTGCACATTATTTATGTTCCAATACTTCAAAGGTAAATTGAAAGTTATTTAACTCTCTGTAGAGGATAAGGAACTAAAAACACATTTTAAAAAATGCAAGAGCATAAATGATAATGCTATAATCCATCATACTTCAATAGAAGTAAATGATCATTTCCCTAAATTTTAAAACAAAGTGGATTCCGGAGGGGTGAAACCATTTTGTAGTGGGTGCACAATTGCACATGAGTCGAAATCCGTGACATGTGACTCTGCAGTAAGTATAAAATATGTCTCAGCTGTTTTATCAAAATTTACCTATCCATCAGATCACAGGGCTAGAATTCTTTTGATTTTGTTTTAGAAAATTCGCTTTGTGCCAAACACATGGGGAGCAGTAATTCATTTTTAACTTGGAAAAAGGTGTGTTTAAGTTCCCAACAGGCCTGCGTTTTGCTCATCACATGCTCTCCATTGCAACCTCTACCGACCAACCAGAAACCCCCCCACACTCCCCCAATCCTCATCTCAATTCTCAAGTACTTCAACCCAGTCATTCCATCCTGTGATCTCCCATGGAAAGAAACAAACCAAAAATCTGAAGAAAAAAAAATCAAGAGAGACAAAAGGCATATGCAGAGGTTAATATACACAGAGTGATCTATCTGTCTGTACTCTGTAGCTTATCAATCTGGGAAAACAGAGGGCGAAATGATGTGCTGCTACATAGGGAAAGCGACGAAGATCTTCATCTTCATTGTCACTCTTCTGGTAGTGACTGGCCTTGTCTTGGGGCTCCACGGATTTATCAGGAAACATCTCAATCACAAGGATGCCGACAATACATCTTGCTCCGCCGATTCTTGCGACCTCACTGCAAACCCTAATTCCCAAATCAATCCCATTTCTGCTTTCCCCAACCCAAATTCTGGTAGTGTCCCGCCAAACAACGGCCCGTCGTCCGCTGCACAGCCGCCGCCGCCGCCACCGGGAAGTTTAAATCCTAGCCTGAACAATCCCAATTTGACTCCTCCTTCCCCTCAATTACAGGCCTCCACACCTCCACCACCCCAATCGCAGTCCGTCTCGGCTCGGCCGCCATCATTGAGCCCTCCCGGCGCAGCTTTGGTAGCCTCAGGTCCTGTCCATTCTTAGCTAGAATAGGGAGTTTTTTTATTCATTTTATATTACATTTGGCCCATAGCATTAGCCTATTTTCGGTCGATTCACTTTCTTGTTATTCCTTGTAATGGTGATGATGATTGGCATTAGTGGTGGGCAATTCGGTTTACGGTTCGGTTTTCTTCGGTTTCGGTTCGGTTTCGGTTTATTCGGGTTGAGAGAATTTGTACCAAACTAAAACCATTTGTGTTTCGGTTTGGTTTCGGTTCGGTTCGGTTTGAAGTTCGGTTTACCAAAGTAAAAAATATTATGTTTAATTTGGTTTGGTTTGATTCGTTTGCTTATGTTTATTATTTTATTTGATCAAGTTCTATATATATTTTAGAATTAGAAAATGAAAGTAGTAGTCCATCTCATCTTTTTTTTTAATTTATTGATTATTTAAATAAAATGTAAAAGTAAATAAAAGACAGAAAAATAAATAACAAAATATTATAAATTAAAACTTCTAACATCTTTTTTTATCACTACAAAAATTCACTTCTTACAAAAAATAAGATAGTTGATTAGCATTTATAATATCACATAAAATATTCAAAAAATCTAAAAGAGTTGATGGTACAGATATTGTAATATTCACGATTTTATTCAAATGAATCATGTAATAATATAAATGCAATTTGCTATTGTTATTGCCAAACATAATAAATACTCCGTACAAATATGTCGTATTAGCTAACTTTGTCATAATGAATGTATGAAATGTGTAAAAATTAAAATGATACGAGTATATGTTTAAATATGTATTTTCATGTCTAAATTATTTATTTATATCTTAAAAATGAAGCGTGAAGATAAATACAAAGTGTATGTATGTGTGTGTGTTGTTTGGTGTTCGGTTCAGTTTAGGGTTTTTCCGTTTTAAACCAAACTAAACCAAAGTACCAAACTATTCGGTTTGAGCAAATGTTCATCAAGCGGTTTACTTAAGTAAACCCAAACCAAAATAAACCAAACCAAACCACCAACTTTAATAATATATGAAAGTTTTTTTGAGTTTCTTTAGTTCGGTTCGGTTTTGTTCGGTTTTTATCGGTTTCGGTTCGGTTCGGTTTGGTTTAATACGGTTTGAAAGAAATAGTACCAAACTCAAACCAAATTGCATACGGTTCGGTTTCGGTTCGGTTTAGTTCGGTTTGGTACGGTTCGGTTCGGTTAAACCAAACCGTTATGCCCACCCCTAATTGGCATGAGCCTCTCTACAGGGGTTCTGTATGTGTGGAGACTTTTTTTTTGGGAAATTTTACTTTGCACCTATAGTTTGGGTTATATTTGACTTACCATCTCATTTTTAGGAAAGCGAATATGGTAGAAAGTAAACTTTGTGAAAGAGTAAAGGGTCAGTTAGGTCCTTGAAGTTGCAAAAAAGGGGTCAAATAAGTCCTTATATAGAAGATTCTGTCTGGACGTCCCAATTGAGGTGGTTCCTGGTAGAATTTTTTTATGAAATTTTTTAAGCATCTTATTCATTAAGTCTAGTTTACTCATACTAAATTTCAGCTAAAAATTCAATCGGGGAGACATTGAAATGAATTCTTGAAGATAAGTGCGCTTTTAACGGCACAGTTATCTTCAAGAATTCATTTGAATGTCTTCCCGATTGAATTTTTATCTGAAATTTGGTATGAGTAAACTAGACTTAATGAATAAGATGCTCAAAAAATTTAATCAAAAAATTCCACCGGGAGCCACCTCAAATGGCACGTCCGGACAGAATCTTCTATATAAGGACTTATTTGACCTCTTTTTTGCAACTTCGAGGACCAAACTGACCTTTATCCCCTTTGTGAAAGAAGAAGGTACACACATTAAATTTTTTGAAAATAAGATGTAAAGTCCAATATTATCCCAATAATGAAATATAAAGTCAAATTCTCCGAATGTGGGAATTTCAATCTTGTATTTGGTAAGTTTGGTAAGTTTTTTAGGTAATAATGGAAATGTCTTAGGAATCAACTACCCGATCAGTTTTAAATTGGGGTGAAATCTGCATATACTATATAGATTAATTGAAATGGTTCTATGTTGACATTCTCACCAACTAAATCCTTATCGAACATTCTCATTGCAACACGGGGTTTTTAAAACGCATAACTAACAATTGAAGAGACATAATGTTACATTAAGATAAAAAAGCGTACATTGCTTCTAGAGATATAAAGAGTGATCTATGGACATAAGTACTGCCCCCGACGATACTCAATATTCTACGCTTACGAATGGTTACAACATTTTGTGTGCCATTAAGGTTCTTCTTCCACAACATGATACATAGACAATTCTACTTATTAGCAGAAAAAGTAAAATTTGTCTCGTTTGATAAAAGTGGAGGTTAGAAAATGTATTTTCTTTCAAAAGATAAGTTTATTCAGTTATTTAAGAAAATATCCATAGAAGAGAAGCTCGTGATCCATATGTGTGCTTATACTATAAGAGTTTAATGTAACAAACTTATACGAAATGTATATATGTTGTATAAGGTGGCATGCCTTAGGCAATTCGACTTGTTGGGGAAACACAATCGATCATCTGTCTGTTTCAGAATCATCTTATAGAACTATTTTACACTCACCCACATGTTGGTAATACAAAGGCTAAATCCAATGGTATCACATTGTATTATGCAACTGAAATGTACAATGCATATTGTACAAGTAAGTAGTTCACTCCACTCTTTGTTTATGAGACTACTTCATTCTACCTCACTCACATACACTCATGAGAAGCCTTCATGGATGGTCTCTTCTCAACGTCATGGATGCTCATCACTTACCGTCATCAAAAGACATCTTTGGATCTCTTCTCTCAGAAGAAGACTCTCACTCTCCTTACTCAATGAGACTTTCACATTCTTAATAGCTCTCCTCAAGGCAATCTCATATGAATGAGGAGTCTCAGCCCTATCTCTACTACTCTTCTCAAGGCTTCTCTAGACCTTTCTATATAGCACTACACTTCTAGATTTTTCCAAGAAGTATCTATAAGTCTCTCTAATCTTCTGCAAAGATCTAAAGAACTCTGCATTTCTTCAAATGTTTTAGAGGCTTCCACACACTTCCACACAGTTCTAGAGAATTTCACACTTCTCTAGAAAACTCTACAATGTTTTAGAATATTATACACTCTCTCACACGCTTCTAGAGAATTCCACACTTCTCTAGAAAGCTAAAAGTATTGTAGAATATTCAATACTTTTCTACATACATCTAGAGAATTCTAGACATCTCCGCAGTATAATAAAATACTCATGACCATCTCAATTGAGGAACGAACCCAACATGACTATGAGTCAATTTGATCACTCTAAAAGTATTGAATAAAAATAGAGCCATAAATAATCGTCCATGTTTCCATATTGTACATGTTTTTGAAAAAAGCTCTGACTCCAAGGCTAAAAAATGTGCTCTTTGGGTTACGAATTGCTATCTATACTTTGCAGCGGATCCTTTGCCAATTGCATCTAAATTGACTATAATCATAAGTACTTTAACATCTGTTAGTCTCTCTAATCTCCCTCTCTCTATATAAATATATATAAATATTTGTGTGTGGATTAGTGCAAGAAAGTTAGCTCATCTTCATTACATTCTCTAATGTTGATCTCCATAACTTTATCTGATGTAGAGGGTAACACGGAACAGCAGTGCCTTCTTGGTGCCAATAACTGCAATTTGAGAGCACATCAACATATAGAGAGTGAATTGTTTATAACAAGATCCACCGTATCAGACCCAAGAACTAGTTGGGTAATTTTTTGAAAGGATTAGATTGAACTGTATGTTTGAACCACGACTTCTGTTAAGTTAAACGGTGGCTAACACATGAAATTTCGATTGAACAACTTCATGAACAACATGCGCAGACAATTTCATTAATTTATAAATTTGCTCCAAAATATTGCTTACAAAATGTAACGTACTTTTGTGAGAGTTTTATGAGAAGTAAGTATTTGATTAAGCATACCTGATTCCGATCAAGGATCAACCTGGTAGAGTGAACTCGGATTTCATCAAGTTTCCTGGGAGAAGCCATGTCAGATCTGCATCTCTCACGGGTCATCTTCGTGTACATGCTCAAGATTCCACTGCCATCGGAAGAAGCGTTTGAAAAGAAGAAAATGGGCTGCCTCCGACAGGGATCAGGGTGGAATGCCCAGGTGTCAAAGTCATAATACATGCCCTTTCCGCCCTTCTTCCATGGCATGTAGCTCTGCTGCACCCGAAGAGCCTCCGGCAGCCGGACGTGGTTCCCGAACACCTGAACCACATAGCCCCAGGACACTGATACTGTCCAGGAGAACCACCGGTCATAACAGACCGTCTGCTGCAAAATTCGGTGGGGATCCACGTTGGCGGCGGTGTACAGATGCTGGAGGGCCTTGATAATGGTCATGTGCGGGAAGATCGAGAACAAAACGTCCATGTGATGCAGAGAAACCAAAGGCCTCACCGGATGTGCCGCCAACAACCCGAACACGTTTCCTTGAACATCCAGCTAATCATATTCAACACCGTGCCATTCAAAATGCAATAATAATGATAATAAATAAACCAAATAACATTACATAATGGTAGCTATCCTGTCAATCCAAACATGTACTAGCACATAAATTTAGTAATGTAAAAAATTCAGGACGCTTCAAAGTTCAAATTGAGTTCCACAAATTAAGAAATTTCATACATTTACAATCTAAAGGTATTTCATTGAGTTTATTTCAAAAACAACAAATAATCTTGAATTTAAGGCACAAAAGCTAGGGTAATTCTTGTTATACCCAACCTTCATATATTTCTATGCACAGTCTTTGTAACACAGGAAATTGCAAACAATTTTTTAACAAATTGTCCGTGTACACATACAACTAGGGTGTGTATACAAAAAATGTACAAACTTTGTGTACCAATGTAATTTTCCTAAAAGTAATTTTGTGTACGTTTATGTTTCTTAAAATTCACAAATGTATATAAAAAGCTCTATTTTCTCATATCTAAAGTCAGCACCATCGATCCTCCATTTTTACCTTGTTAGGAGAAAGGAAATACTCTGTATCTATCTATTCCCTTAAAATAGCAAATTTTAAAATTGGCATCACTCTTACTAGGGGCTGATGTGAGCCCAAGCCTATATTCCAATCCAAATAGGTGGAATCTCCCAATCCAGGCTACACCGTCCTGACAATATGGTGGAGTAATTACACTATTATTTAAAATATTTGGGGCACATAAAAAGCCATCACATTCAATGAAACTCCCACATCGTCGTTATCGGTAATTGAACCCAAAATCTCAACTTAACTCATTTAGCCACCGTTGAGCTACCCGTGCGGTACTCAGACCCGTACCCCAAGTTTTAGGGTCATAAGATTTAGTATTGGTAATCATAAACTGGGTACACGTGGAAAATGCAAAATCTCCACATCACAAATGAATTTGGAATACTCTGTCATGTGTGAGGACATCACTTGGATTCAATCCATTCATCCCCGTTTTGATCTGTCAATATAATCCTAGCTAGCATTAATGTGATTATGATATCCCTAGGAAGGTCGTCCATGCTCAATTTTCATTCCATTTGGGTTCTATGTTAAGGGATCATATTCCACTCAGGCATATTCTTATGTAAAAAGGACATTTGTCCAGTTCTATAAAGAATGATTGGAAGGATAATTCCACATCCTCTTATCCTTATGCACCAATTATAAAATTCCGATTAAATAATTGGAACACATACATGATGAAATAATAATGATCTCAATTAACCAATACGACACCATGAGTTAATGATGAGTACCATAATATTCAACTTAGTGTAAGCAAGTATTTTCTCTCATATTAGTAACTCGGCGCCTCGGCACTGTCATGCATAATCAAATATTAACATCCTTAAATCCATTTTTATTTCATATCTCATTTATAATAATGCTTTAATATCTCATTTATTATCATAATGTAATATTTGTATTAGTTATTATTTTGTTGTAAGACTGAAATTTATAGTTTTGAAGACACAAATCCAATTATTAATATACTAGTATGTAATTAATTAGTTGCAAGGAAGAATTTTAAACAAAGCATAGGCTAAGTGCATGTTATAATGTTACGTCATAACGTCAAACCACGAAAACTGAGAAAAAATGGAGTAAGGGATATTTATCTATCAAAGAAATGGAACTAGTTGAATAACTACCTGATGAAATCCGGGTTCGAGAGTTAATGAAACACCAAGCTCGGATAAGCAGGCATGGATCCTAGCATCACTTCCATAAAGATGAGGATATCTTTCTATGCATGAATCCAACACTCCAGCTAGGACTTTGGCAAGCGGGTAGCTAATGGCAAAACCTGCCCCTCCAAACGCCATTCCGTAAGAGAAGAACTTGTTCTGCGCATGGCTTTCCGAGTTAGCCCCGATGTAATACCACAGGCCATGGTCATACTTCGACAACGTCTTCACCAGATTCTCCGGGAAGAAGACGGTGTCGTCGTCCCCAAACACGAACCACCTCACGTCTGAATGGTTGAGGGCCACCGTCTCTGACACAACACGCGCCACCCGTATTGCTGATGGCGTCCCCTTCCCTGCTCTGTACGTGTAGCGGAAATGCGAAGTGTCGCCTGACACGCAAACTGGCGGGAGCAATGCTGTGTCGTTATTTGGCGACGTGGCATTGCTGCGGCGTTCGAGAAAAACACACCCCCTCATCTCTGTAGGTCTCCACCACAGCTTGACGTATTCCTTTCGCCTCTTCCATGAATTCTCGTTTGAGGCGATCCCAAAAACGATGTGGCGGAGGGACGTAGGGGATGGGGAGGCATGGTGGCTCTCAGAAACTAGAGCAGGGTGGAGGAAGGAGGACAAGGAGAGGAAATTGGTGTTGGGGATGAGGACGAAGCAACAGACGAAGTACACCGCACAGATGGAAGATGAGATGAGAATGAACGCCTTGAAAGAATAATAACAATGATGGTGATGAGGAGGAGAAGAAGGAGCCTTCATCTTGTTTCTATTTGGATGGTAATCATTAAATTAAATTAGTGAGAGAATAGTATAGGATGGGAGGAGGCAAAGGCTGATGGAGGGGTTTAGGAAAGAAGATTTAAGGTTAATGGTGTGTAATTGTTTTCGCATGGTATGAAGAAGTATGACCACACACTTCGAATTGAAGTGGAGAATGTTACTAGGCTGCTACACATCCTTATTCAAGTTAATCTCTCGTTTTTCATGTCAATCTCATCTTTTCATTTTTTGTTTGGTTACATGCCCTTCCTCCTATTGGATTTTGTAACTTTATCTTATTTTGAGTGTTTCAAAAACTTTGCAACTTTACTATTTAAGTAACTAATTTGCGTTTTGTTTATTTATCTCTTCTTTACACAAACCTCAACCACACAATTTTCACATTTTCTTATTTCTCTCCTAATTCTAAATTGACAAAGTTCACCGGGATAAAGTTTGTGTTTTCAAACAACAATTTAAAAAAAAAAAAAAACAACGATTTTCATGTTGTTTTTACTAAACATTGACGGAACTAAAGTCGTTGTGTGCCTCAAAATAAATTCAATACTAACACTAATACGTAGTATAGTAAAGCAGAGTTCGTATCCACAAGGAAAGGAATAATTTTCTTTTATGGAACTAGTAATTAAAATGGGGGGTTTTGGAATTGTTTGATTTTAATTAATTAAACACTAAGATGAATGACTTAAATGATTTTAATTAATGAGATAAAAGACTTGATTTTGCTACTTTCCACTTGTTGATATGTTTGTTGATCCCGGTTATATCTATGACTTATCCCCTCTCGAATACTCAATCAAGGAGTATTTCCAATTTATTGAGGGTAGTTATTAATAACCACCGTTCATTAATAACCCTTAATGTTAGCCTAGTATAGAATACCGTCATATACCGACTTGATTGTAGCATTTAATCTCTTAACTCCTTGATGAAATCAATTGAGATTGATAACCTCAACACAGCGATTTTGGTTTAACCAACACAATTAATCCCTCTTAAGATTATTAACCACGACCGTGCATAAATAACCCGAAGTTACATACTTGTGAAACCATCAAGGATTAACCATCGGTTCATTGATCGTTTCTAGTAGTAATTAATGTCAAGATGTTAACTAATTGTCATCTTAGCAACACTCACCAACATTAATATAGAAATAGATTAAGGGGAGAATTAATATTCAAGGGAAGAAGTAAGAAAATAACTCACAACTTTAACATTCAACAAGCTTCAAGAGGAAAACCAAGAAATGAGAGTTTAGCTCCTCATTTAGAGACTAAACAATGTTAGAAAAATATAAAAAAAAATACTATTCGAAGTCGAGCTTAAGTATATGGAAGAAGGGATAATTAATATGAAGGAAAAGAGTGCTATTTATAGGTGTTTTGAAGGTGCTGCGCCGGATACCCGACCGGATATTTGAGATACCCGACCGGGTATTTGTCAAACCATATCTTTTTCACGCGTCTTTGTATTCTTCAGCACATCTTTTTTACTTCATACCCGACCGGGTATATGGAATACCCGACCGGGTATATGGAATACCCGACCGGGTATTTCTCCTTTTTCGTTGAAGCTTCATTTTTCTCTTCATACCCGACCAGGTTAAGGCCTTACCCGGCCGGGTAAGTCATTAAATCACATTTCTTGCAAGATTTTTTGCTCTCTCGCACATTTCTTTTATCTTGTAAGATATCTTCCATGCACCTTTGTTGTAGACTTATTTATTCAAGTTCAAGATTAATATAGTAAAATAAACTAGAAAAATAAAAGGTTGCACCACAAACGTGCAATTACCACAATAACACACCATAAAAACTAATTAAAAGTAAAAACTTAAGCACTCCAAAACCAATGCAATCAAACATCAAGCAAATAGTTGGGGCCTTGCTTTTGCTATGATATCTATTACTCCTTAATTAAGTTCATCTTAAAGTTTCTCGATATGTTTCTCATTGTATTTAAGATATTCTTAAAGATAATATTGTTTCTGTCCCAAACTATTTTGTAAAAAATGATTTTCGAGATTGACTAAGCATTTGATCATCAAAACATGTCTCTATTCATATCAAAAGATTCAGGATCATTACATCAAGCAAAGGGAAAATAACACTGACACCAACTAAAACTCCAACAACTACGACTATAACCCTATGGTGAGACTTTGAGACGGTCACCCCTGAATGAGCAACACGTATCGCTAACCATGTAGTGGGCTTGACACAACCAAACTTGTTCCCATAGATCCAACGATACCCAATGACATAAAAAGAGGCTAAAAACTCAAACAAATTGTCAAAACAAACAACAAATATGAACACAAGAAAACAAATGGCAAACAGATAAAAATTACTAGGAAAACTTTCATGGACTCTAGCACCTCGTACAACCCATGGTGGTGGTTCAGGCGGAGGTCGGACCGTCGCTCGATTGATACTCTCTTTCACTAGTGTACCCGCCGCCGTAAGACCCAAATTCATGCCATCGAATGGAGCGTTCAGCCTCTTCACACTAACCATGTCCCGATCATCCCTACGTCTCTCTCTCTCGCTTCTTCCACCATCTTCTCGCTGCCACGATCATCCATCCCGAGCTACGCCCAAACCATAGCAATCCGGCGCAGAGCTGCGTCGATTGAAAGAAAAACGCCGCACCAGGGCGACGAAGAAAAACCCTACACGAGAGAACTCGCTAGGAAAACACTGATCGAACTTGGATAAAAAAAGATCGAAATCGGAATTATCTAGCTGGGGCTTTGCCCTATGAGCTCGTTCGGTGCTTAGGAGCGTTTTACATATACGAAAAGTAGTTAAAATAGCCCCAGGTTAAGAAATTAGTTCCATCCTGATTCTAAACCCACGAGGTTGTCTAAGCATAATAAAGTTAATAATTCCCTAACAATTTTTAAATTAGTGTTAGAAATAAAAAAGTACGTAGTACTCCGTATTCTCTATGCTCTAGAAATATTTGAAAACTTTCTATATTAGGTCATTCAAAAATATGTGATTAAAGTTATTATTATATGCATACATCCTAATCAGCAAATTTGAACAATATAAACTTTGAGAATGATTTTAATTAAACTTGATTATAAATGAGCAATAAAAAATAGGAAAAATTGATAGTAATAATCCCAACTATTGGCGGTTTGCTCATAATAATCCCAACTATTGATTATTACAGAATAATCCCAACTTTAGGGAACTTCCGCCAATAATGGTCCCTATGAATAAATTCTTGTAATTTATAAAGTGGATGATATGAGATATAACAAGTAATCCATATAAATAATCTCAACTTTTAATTTTTACGCTTAATTTCTATTTAAAATTCACTTTTTATAGAGGTAATATATGGTCATGGACCATTATTGGCGGATAGTCTATATAGTTGAGATTATACAAAAATAATCAATAATTGAGATTATTTTCAACGGACCAGTAATAATTGGGATTATTATTTTTCAATTTTTCCTAAAAAAAATAATACAATCAATTTTTACGAGAGTGAGGGCTATGAATTAAGCTTTTTGGGTAAAAAAGTGAGTGCACTTGGATAGAAAATTGGAGCAAGAAAGGGAATGTAGAAAATCAGTCGTTGAAGCAAAGGGGCGATTTCTTTCTCCGACTTGACATCGTCTAGGGCAGGAACATTTCTCCGCAGTGGTAGTCTTCATATTGGTTTACCTGCAGATTGTTTCTATCGCAAACCAGTCGAATCAGAAGCAGCTCAACTATTGAGGGGAGTCGTTCACTCGTCAATTGATTCGTGGGCTCGTCATTGTTGAAGACTTCTCTTACGGGAAAGGCGTCGCATTTGCAAGAATCGAATTTCAGTTTGGCATGGCAGATTACCCTAAAGACAATTTCATCCAGCTCTTCAAGCGATTCCGCAATTTTCTCTCCGTCAAGATATCCAATGTCTTCAAATCTTCCTTCCTATTTCATGGTTTTTTAAAAAACAGATTGATTAAATAGTTTCCTATTTGGTGTTGGAAAAACTCTATTTCTGGCATTTCATGTTATTGCTTCAAGTTCTATTCTTTTTTCCCAGTTATTGATGTTTGATTTAGCCATTTCCTTTTTGTGCTTGAATATAAATGATTTTCTTCTAAATAAGTTTGACACGATTAGATTCGTTTACTGATGGAGACGAATCTAAGCTGCTGGCAAATTTTGGTCGCTATGACCAAAATTGTAAGGCTTGACTGTGAAACTCAAGCCATCTCACTTTCCATTGAGATATTTTACCATCAATTTCATTCTACCCAGTGCTATGCTAGGTGCTTAGAATAGGTATTCTCTTTAGAGAAATTGCAATGCAAAAACATATATTGGAGATGTGAATGTTTTTTTGTTATGGCTCAATCTGTTTTTCTATGGCAGTGTGCTTAGTTGTGTAATAGTCTTGCTGGAATACATATTTATGGGACATGGCATATTCGCATCCACTTATACTATTTTTATCCTTACAATGGTAATTTCAGGATTCTAGATCTGTTGGGGCCTTTGCTGGTCTAGCATTTGCAGTAGTTTTTGCCTGGACACTGTTAAGATCGCCTAGTGGGGGCCAGAGAAGACGGCCTAAGCCGCAAACTGGTGGACCAAGTACTTCCAGTGCAAGCAGTGACGATAGAAACTCAGTTGCTACACCAACAACAGCTGCAAGCATCACTCTGCCTGTAGGTTCAACGGCACAACTTATCTCTGAAAATCTCTCTCAGCCATTAACAGTTGAGTGATAATTTCTCCCCTAACTTCAAGAATATTATTTCAATGAGTCTAAAATTAAAATGTATTGATCAAATATTTCTTTCTACCCATGGTCTTGCAGCCAATTTTGGGGAAGATTGTGAGGAACAGGTTGGGTGAAGCGAGGAAGGTAAATTTCAACTCTCAGTGTTCTCTGTTCCATACAGAGTGTGGCCTAGTTTGGATGAGGAACTGAAGATAAGCTCTTATCATTAGGATACACAAATAAAGACTCCGTAAAAAGACTCGTGTTTCCA